GGCTGCGGCGGGGGCGCGCCCCCCCCCCCCCCCCGCTGCGGGTCCCGGAGGGGGGCCAGGCCATTCCCGGTGTGTGGCTGCACAGGGGCGGAAGCCCCCGGCCGCGGGGCCCCCGGAGGGGGGCCCGAAAAGTTTTGAAATAGAGTGGTGGTAGCTGTTCAACATTGTGAATACACTAAATGCTTCTGAATTGTACACTATAATGTTAATTGTATGCATGAAATTTTACTTGACTGAAAAAAAAAAGATGTACTTCATCATATGTTGGCATAGTTTATAAAATGCAACAAAAAGAACAAAGCCAGAAAGCTTCCAAAGGAAAAATATTTGGAAGGATAAACAATTAGATTTCTTATCTACAATACTGTAAGCTTGAACACAATGAAATGACATCCTCCTCTTACCAGATGAAAAGAGCAGCTATCCACAAGTTGTTGCAAATCAGCCTAGATGCCACTCACTGTCAGGGGAAGAGAATGATATGACTACATAAGTAATGACTCAGAGAACATACTACCCACAGAGCCCATTAGAGGAAAATATTCAGAAAAATGCTCCATCAGACAACAAATTAATCAAAACAGATTTTAGAAAATTAAAGAGTAAGCAGTGGTGAGTAAAGAACTACACAATAAACGTAATTAATCTTAATGGACGATGGTAATGTGACTGGGAACTTATCATTTAAGTGATGCTTAAATGTTCTTGAAACAAAGGAGTCATATTTTCAGAGAAAAATCTTATAATCTAATAATTAGAAGACTTGACTATTTTATCAAAATCTCCATTTTGAAGGATGTTGCAGGGAGAGGGGTAAGACTTACAGAACTTTGGGATTGGCAGAAAAAATGGGCAGATGAATGGTCTGTGTTTTACCCTTCTGGGAGTGGAGGTAAGCAGAGATAAGGGGGAAGGGTTGTTAGGGGTGTCATTTGGATATTTTAATACAATAGCAGAGAAGTGTCTGAGTGAGGATGGAAAGTATTAATGGAATAGAGACACACAAAAGAAATTTGAAACTACTAAGAAGGAAAAGAAAGGAATGGAAGGTAGCCTAACCTCACCTCTCAGCAGAGCTGCCACCATAGCCAAACCATTCCTTCTGTTTTTTGAAAAGTTAAAAATTTCTTAATTTTTTTTTCTTTTTTTTCCTTTCCTTTTTTCTTTCTTTCTTTTTTTCTTTCTTTTTTTTTTAGAGATTTTGCTTTAGGGTGCATGTGCTCACCAGAGAGACAGAGACAGACAGACAGAAAGTGAGAAATCACCCCCCAGGAGTGATGACCATGCCACAATTCCTTCTCCTCTCAGGATTTTGGGCACACACACACTTGCATCCAATGTGAGGTGTATATAAGCCACCAAGTCCGGAACTCAAACCTCGGTCTACTATGTGGGAGTCCAGTGACATAACTATTACACCATCTGGTGATCCCAAAAATTTCATAATTTTTTATTTCTAGCACCACTACCACAATTTACAGGACAATACACCTAATCTCATGAAAAGAAAAAGAAGAAAGAGAAAAAGAAAAAGAAAAAGCTATAACAGATAAGAGACCTCAGGAATGTACATCTAATTGACACTACATTGCATTGTATTAGTCAGTAGCTACACTTTTTGCAAACTGTGGCTATGACAGTTTTGAACAAGAAAGGTTTCCTGTATAAGCTGTGCTTTCCTTCTTCAGTTTTTGTGACACCACACTCACCTGGTTTTCCCCTGGCTGCAACCTTTATGTCTTTCTTACTTATTTTTTCTTTTAAATTTATTTATTTTGCACTCGTTCACTGAACGTTACCACAACATAAAAAAAAAGTCGTTTCTTATCCAGAATACACTGTATAGTGGTTTAATCATTCAAGTTATTGCCAACAAATAATTTTCCATTTCTTGTTTCTTAACTATATTTATGTTTTTTTCCCTATTTCTCACCCTCTGCCATTTCCCACTCTCCTCCCACCCTGTCTCAGGTATCTGTGGTTTCTTTCCATTCCTTTTCTCTTTCCTACATTTTATTGATTCACAAAATATCTTAATTAAACTAACTACTTTCAATAGTAAGTTCAGCTGATATAGAGAGATCTGTGAACCCAAGTCTGACTCTAGGCGTGAAACTCTGTGAGTAGAATGGATATACTATAAAGTAGCACCTGACTGAGGCTATATAGTTTACTGTGGCCATTAAATAGGTATTTTCAATATATTTTTAATTTCAAGAAAAGTTGCTTTTCTTTAATAAGTCAAAATAAAAAAATGCTAGGAGTATTTTGCTTAAGAATTAAAGCCAAGAAACAGGTTAGGATTCTGTTCAAACAGTAGGTACATGAACCTATTGGCAGCTCAAGAGAAGACAAAAATCCCCAAATCTGGAAAACAAAGCTTAGAAGAAAATCAGTAATGTTTTAATCAGAAGTCATAAAATTCTATTTCACCAGTTCAGTCTCATGTATTTAATCGTGGTCCGATCTTTCCATTTAAGTTCTGGAAAATAATATTCAACTCCAAATTTGTCCCTACCATTAAGTTGGCCATTTTCTCAGTTGTTTTTGAACTCTTATTTATGTGTGTCTGTATTTAGCTTTCCTGATACAGTACTCCTTTCAGCACTTCTTGGAGAGTTGGTCTGTTGTCAGTAAATTCTTTCAGGTTTTGCTTATCTGAGAATGTTCTCGTCTTTTTTTCCCATATGAAGGAGAATCTTGCTGGGTACAGTATTCTTGGTTGAAAGTGTTTTCCTCTTAACATTTTGAATATATTTTCCCATTCTTTCTTTGCTTGCATAGTTTCTGATGAGAGGTCTGCTGTAACCTGATGGGATATTCTTTGTAGGTAACTTGACATTTCTTTCCTGCCAATCTTAACAGCTTGTCTTTGTCTGTGGTTTTGGTCAATCTGACTATAATGTGTCTTGGAGAAGATCTTCTTGAGTTGATTCTATTTGGAGTCCTTTGTATTTCTTGGGTTTGGATCTTTGAATGCTTCTCTAGGTTTGGAAAGGCTTCTTCCAGGATTTCATGGAATGGATTATCAATGCACTTATTGCTCTCTTCACCTTCTGGGATACCAGTTATCTGGATGTTTGCATGTTTAATGGTATCTAATATTTCTTGTATAGTATTCTCATTTTAGGGGGGCAATTTTCTCAGTCTTCATGGTGGATTTTTTTACTCCAGTGATTCTGTCTTCTACATCTGAGATTTGATCTTCTGTATGATCTAGTCTGCTTTTAATACTTTTAAGGGAGATTTTGATTTTCTGTATTACAGCCTTCATCTCTGTAAGTTCCATTTGAGTCTTTTTTTTTTTTTTTTGGAAAGATTTTTGCTATAGGTCGTGTGCGCTTGCCAGACAGACAGAGAGAGATAGAGCGATAGAAAGCGAGAAATCACGCCCCAGGGGGGATGGCCACACCACAGTCCCTTCTCCTCCATTCTCCTCTTGGGATCTTGGGCACGCATGCATATGTGCCCGGCGTGAGTTTAAGCCACCGGGTCCGGGACTCAAACCGCGGTCAACTACATGGGAGTCCAGCGACACAGCCATTACACTAACTGCTGGTCCCCATTTGAGTCTTTTTTATGATGAGTATTTCCTCTTTCAGATCCATGCAAGAACTTCCTTACCTCTTGGAACCCATTAGGTCTTTTCTCCTGCATCTTCTGGAGTTTATTGTCTCTCTTCTCGTGTATCTCTATCAGCTTCGTCACTGTGAATATTCTAAATTTTTTTTTATTTCCTTGTATTTTTTTAATTATCATCATAATCTTCTTTATATTACATTGGATTACATATAACTTTACAGTGTATTACATTGCTTTTTCAAAAGGGAATGCC